GAGTGTGCAGGGAGGGGGCTGCACACTCCAGAGCTACTTTGGCGGCAGCCATATCGTCTATTTTCGTGAGGGGCATGAGTTTGAAATCGGGGCTTACGAACGGATTTACCCTCGTCTGTCTGGAGTGAAGATGAAGGTGGTAACCAGCTATCAGGGGCTAGAGAGGAAGGTGCAACGAGATGATCAAGAGCAACAACTGCTTTGCACAACTGCAATAGCCATGTCATCCCTTGCAGGACCAGGAGAAAGTGTCATTCACAAAGGGATGTCATCTGTATGCAGAGGAAGAAAGGGGGATATGCAAGACTGGTACTGTATGCAGTCTACGACTTGAATGAAATCTGTGCGCGTGCAATTGAGCAATTTGTGGAAGCAAAGTGATAATTGAGCAATGTTTATATCAAATCACCAGAACCATTTCCTTAAAAAAATGTAACGTATCATAAAAGTTTTAAAAAGTTTATCAGCATCTCCTGCATTGAAAACCTTGCTCTAAACTGTATGTTATTGCGTGAGTTGGCTGGCAGCACCAGCACCCCCCGCCCATCCTCTCTTCCCTTGCCGCCCGTGCTGCAGTGGGGGGGAGGGGGAAGTGGTGTGGGGGTGGCGGGTATGACCAGAGCCGCCCCTCCTCTCTCCTCTCCTCCAGCCGCCTCTCTTCACCTTTCCTCCTCCTATCTCCTCTCCTCCAGCCGCATCTCCTCCTCCTCTCCTCTCCTCCAGCCGCACCTCCTCCCTCTACCTTCCGTGGCACCATCTCCTCCTCCTATCTCCTCTCCTCCATCCGCCTCTCCTCCGCTCTACTCCTGTGCACCACCAGCAGCTTCCTCCTCCTCACCAACAGTTGTGTTTGTTCGTAGATGGCGAGCGACCAGCATCCTTCGCCCTCCGGCTATCCCAGCCCTCCTCCGCGCTCTCCGCGCCCTCCTCCGTTCTGGCGTTCACAGAGGTGGCTGCCGGTCAGCAACCGCTGTTTCTGTGCATATCCCAGCTACACAAGCAACTGCTCTCCAGGGCGACCTGGTGCCAGACACCACTAGCTGTAGCCAGTAGGCAGTTACGGGGGTGGTGTTAATTGATATTGCATATCTTATACCTGCCTATAGCTTGCTAGTGTATTAGTTTAGTTATTAGCATCAACTGCTGGTGGAGTACCCTTATCTTCTCTCTTCCTTCTCCTATATCTTGTACTCTTGCCTATTGAGAAGCTTGCTTTCTTTCTTATCAATTGGCAATCGTTCTCATTACAAATGGCGTATTACAACATTTGCATCATCGTTCGACATAAGCTAGTGCGGACTAATAACACTAGCTATTATGTACCCTATCCCAAGTGGCATTAGCAAGGCGGTTTACACTGGGGTGGGTGGTGGGAATGTTGAGTGAGCCGTTTGAAAATTGAGAAACGTGGGTGGAGGGAAATGAGCTCCAACCCACGGTTTTTTGTAGTTGGAGAAGGGCGTTTAGCGCGCTTCGACGATGCAAATTGTGCAGTACAAGCAGCTTCGCTTTCACAATACACAATTAAAAAAAACACTACATGTGTGTTTAAAAATTATAATATTGAGAAAGCTTGCTTTCTTTCTTATCAATTGGCATCGTTCTCATTACAAATGGGGTCTCTGAGACATGGGCAGCGGGGGCCCTCCGGTTGCGTACGAGTGCCTCTGTGTGTTGCGCCGATGACACCGCATGCGTCGAATCTTGTAGGGTACGGGAGGCTTCGATGAGGGGGCTCGACGTATGGCGTAACATACATTTCCTTTGCTGTGTCGCTTCGCCATTTGCCCAGCCGTTTGAAGACTCTGTCTGGCACTCCCGTGTTGGCTGCTACTGTGGCTGCACCTTTTCGGAAAGAATGGGTGCCTAGCTGCAACTCTCCAAGGCCAACCTTTGCGAAGGCTTCCTTGCACCAGTTCCGGATCGTAGTGTATGAAGGTGGCCTAGCCTGGCCCTCTCTGGTTGAACCGTGACCGAAGACACGAATCAATGGTCCCTCTGACCGTGGGCCATAGCCAGCGAGTCGGATGAAGCGTCGGGTGCAGCGCACTGGGCAGCAGGGTCCGCCGTTGCTGCAATGGGTATCCAAGTGCCGTGACCAGCTTGATCGGATCTTGGAGTGTGGTATGAGAATCCACATGACCTCGTCGTCGAATTGGATGTCTTGCCATTTTATGGCTACTAGGTCAGAGTATCGCAGGAATCCGGAGTACATGAGGATGGGTATCAACCCTTTCTGAAATTGCGCAGGATCGTCGGACTGCAAGTAGCTCGCGGCCATTTCCTGGACTTGTTGGATCGAGACGGGTTTCCTTCAGACGAGTAGGGCGTGGGCAGTGTCGCTTTGCATAGTCACGGACTTGGGTGGTGAACGGTCCGGTTGTCGGGGCATTTGCTCCCGGTCATGCGATGGGCGAAGCTGACCGCCGAGCAGGTTAGCTGCACTACAGACAGGGTGGCTTTGCGTCGGATTGCGTGTACCAGGTATAGGCGCGAGGGTCATGTCGGATGCCGGGAGGAATGGAAGGTTCACTTTGTGCAGAAGGCTCGAAACTTGGCCCAGTATGGTTCATATGTCCGGATCGTAAGAATCGGCGCGGGACTGCGCGAGCATGTTGATCAGTTGGTCGTGTAACTTTGGGAGCAAATCTGAACACAAGGTGTATATATTTTGAATTAGTCAAATGCCACTCGCAGTGCAATGATTGGGCTGTGCGGTAGTCCCATGCCCGAAAAAGCAGTTGAATGGGACCCTACGTCTAGGCATTGGCTTCCGTGTGTCAGAGGGATGTGCGCGTGGATGTGTGGTGCCCAAGTGCGTGGGGAGGGTTGCAAGAGTGGCCACCAGCTTGCGCCTGGCCAGTGCGGAACTATCAGTGTGAGTGATGCATGGGTGCGTTGTGCGTGATGGAGGACGGTTGGGACCAGTTGAGGTGGGGGGAAGCGAAGTTGTTTTCAGGTGTCCACGCGATCGAGAACGCATCAACTGCAATGGCTGCCGGGTGGGGAATCTTTGAACAGAAGCGCGGCAGTTGGGTGTTTGCGGGAGTTTGCGAAAAGGTCGATGGAGTGAGGACCCCAACGACGTTCCAAGATCCGGAACCACGACGTTTTCAGCGCGTAATCGTCGTGGTCGACCATTTTTGAAAGCTCGTCGGCGTGTGTGTTGAGCTCGCAGCGGAATCCATTCAATGATCAAGCGCGTGCCAAGCGCCATGCATGTTCGGATGATGCTCTTGCATGCCGTTGTGAGGTCGGGGCTGTGAGAGCCGCCTTTGCGAAGGATGAAGAATAACGCCCTGGTTGTCCACCCGCACGAGAACTGTGTTTTTGCTTGATCTTGTTCGCATACGTTTGTAGCGCCCAAAGGACGCCTTCGATCTCCCGTCGCGTGCTGGACGTTCCTCGTAGCGGCTCTGACATGGTTGCGCTAGCTTCTTCGATGCCACCCGAAATGTGGTCAGAGTGGCGCCCCAACCATGAGAGCTGGCATCCACGTGGATTACCGCGTTGTAGCTGTTCTTGACGTGAAAAGGTGCGCCGTTGAAACGGTCGAACTCCTCGAGCCAAAATTGGAGCTCTTCTGCTGCAGATGGGGGGATAACGTCGCTGCTTTTCCATGACGGTGCGTCGTCGATCACCTTGTAACATAGCATGGCTGAATGCGCGAGCTGTTGCGCCAAGTGCGACACCCCATCGATGCGAGCATGCCAGTGATTCTGGCCACGTGGCGGACCGGGACTGGTCGGCATGCCTTGCTTGCGCTCAGGAGTTCCGGATGGTTGCATGTAGTGAGGCTCGTCGGTCCGGACCGATGGAGAATCGGCCGGTATCGGTCTCGAGTTCTACGCCCAGGAATCGGGAGACGCTGCGATGGTGACAGTTGTGATTTCTTCGCGTTTATCACAAGGCCTGCCTCTTTAAGATCCAATATCACCCGCTGGCAAGTTGCTTGCGCGTCCTCTTTCGACTGGCAGAGAAATAAGATGTCGTCCACGTAAGGTACGACTCGGATGCCTTGTTCTCGCCAACAGCCGAGCTAGTTGCTTGATGAGCTGCGTGAAAACGAATGGAGCTGTCGCGAGGCCAAATGGTAGTGAACGGAATGCGTATGTGCGCTTATCAAATTCAAAGCCAAGGAACTTCCAGCACGATGGGTGGATGTCGATGTGGTGGTAACCAGATTTGAGGTCAATGGAGAACATCCAGTCCCCAACGCGCGCAAGGTCGGCGACGCGGCTGAGCCCTTCGTACTTGAACTTGGGGATGATCAAGTTGGCGTTGACTTTCCTCAGATCAAGAATGAGCCTGCATTTGTCTTTTTGCTCGACCACGTTGAGTGGACTTATGCATGTAAGCTCCGTTGCGGCCATCGGAATTGCCGCTGCCCGTCTCTATGAGTTCTTGGATGGCGGTACGTGCGAACGTGGCATGCGTGTTTGCCCCGACATGATTGCGATCGTGGAAATGTTGCGGTGGGCCGTGGCTCCATGGCAACCAGTAACCCTTGGCGATGACGGAGAGGACAAGGCTGCTGGGGCACCCATGAGCTCCACCACGCAAATGTCGCGCGAAGACGACCGCGCATGTGTGTAATAGTTCTGTCTGTAACGGCAAATTCGTACGGATCGTCGTGGCATGCCGCCTCGCACCGTCGTGCTCCTGTACATTTGAGGCCAAGTGGTATAAGCTTTGAGTATTCCACGTTAAAGCATGCGTGTGCATGTACTTGTACGGGCAACCATTGATCGAAAGGTGTGAAGAGAGTGAACAATTGAATGAAATGTCAACGAATGTGTCGGTAATGTTAACGCATGTCAACGCATGTCTCTTCTTCTCCTCGTTTCCCCTTTTTTTTTTTTTTTCTTGCCCCGTCGTCCACTTGGTAGGACTGGTTGTGCCTGCCCTTAGTGCGTAGGGGCTGATGCCTAGGGCCATGGACACCGTTGTCCATTGTGCTTTCTCTCATTCTCTCTTATCTCTCTCTCTCTCTCTCTCTCTCAGTCTCTCTCTCTCTCATCGTCTCCTCTCTCTCTCGTCTCTCTCTCTCTCTCTTTACTCTCATCTCTCTCTATCTTTCTCTCGTCTCTCTCTCTCTCTCTCCCTCGTCTCTCTCTCTCTCTCTCTCTCTCTCTCTCTCTCTCTCTCTCTCTCTCTCTGCTCCTCCTCTTGATTTTCATAGTCTCTTTGCCAAAACCATAGGCCTTTAGGAAGGTAGTTTTTATTAAATCAACCAACACACATAGCAATGCTTTCCTAGCATGCCACCAAGTGGCCAACATATGGGACCGAGGGGTTGTTGTTCCCCTTCCCTATCCTAGGCCCAAGCCTATCCCACCCTTTACTAGGGCTGGCCTCTTGCCATCGCAAACCCCTAGGGTTGCCCACGGTTTTCGCACTCAAGAGTGCACCGTGCCTAGCGCCCAAGCGCCTAGTCTCATGGCCCGCTCCTACACCACCGGAGCGGGTCCCTGGCCTCCATGCCCGTTCCGAGGGCAGGCACTTGCCACGTGGCCCGGCTGGCCGCAGCGGAAGCATGAGCCCCGGAACCCACGGCAATTGGCCGTGGGCGGGGGGCCTCGCTTGGGTAAGAACGGCATCGGCCCGTTGTTTCCGCCGCGGTTGACACGAGCGTATCCGCTTGCCGCACGGTCCATCGCCGCCATGTCCGCGACCGCCTGCTTGAAGGGGTCGAGAAGTCAGCAGGCTCTTCTGCTGGTACAGCTTAAAGCGCTTCGCCGTGCGAAAGTCGGAGGCGTCCTCCACTTGAAGCACCTCGAAAACGCCCCGCGATGAGGTTGAGAGCGTGTGAGATGAGTTCGAGTCCGCCCGCCGGATCACCGCGCTGCGCCTTGTATTCGGCGTGCAGCAGGTACGCCCGCAGGGTCCTCCATAGCTCCGCTTGCTCTCGCACGGAGTCATTGACGAAGGTTGCCGCCGAGAAGGTAAGATTAGAAGAAGGGAGGGGGGGAAGGTTTTCCGTGCCAATAAAATTAACATTGTTGACTGGAGCCTCACCGGCTTCATCTTCAGAGTCGTCGGTGTCGTTGTCGACCGCTGGAGCAGGGGGAGCGGCAGTCGCTGCGTCGTTGTCATGCCGGTTCGTCCGTGCTCAGCCCGTGTGCCTTTCTCCTTTTTTGCAGTTTCTTTTTAGCCGACCGCAGATGCGGCGGGTAGTGCAGTTTCCGCGGCTGTAACGCTGACGGGTTGCTGCTGTAGAAAGGGACAGCAGCGCGTTGACCTGGTCCGGGGTCAACGCCTGCGTCAGCGCAGGGGCGGCGGTCGCGTCAGACGAGGAGACTGCAGTCCGCCTCCTCTGACGCTGACAGCGACGGTCCAGCAGCGGGTGCTGGCGTGTGCTCGCGTCAGTCGCGTGTGCCGCGCCAGTCCCCGTCGCCACTTGCGCCACAGGTGGCCACTGGCGCCACAGGCGCCATTGGCGCCACAGGGACCGAAGGGTGCTGCTGGGTTTCGGCGTTTTTGTGGACCTCGAGCCCGCCCAGCAGCACGTCCACTGCAGTCGGGGCGGAAGGTTCGTCTTCTGCCCGACGCTTGTTACGGTGCGTTCGCCCCGCAGAATCGCGGGCGTTACGGTCGGAGTCGGAAGCGGGGGTTGACGAGTTCCCGTTGTTAAGTGTCGGCGTAGGTGCCATCGTTGAGCGATTGAAAGTTGAAAATGTGGCTGAGTAAAGTAGAGGGTGACTCGCCTCTAGGAAGCGATTTAAATCCTAGCCAGCTTGGAGGGAAAAACTACTCGAGCGGAAAATGTTGAGTGAGCCGTTTGAAAAATTGAGAAACGTGGGTGGAGGGAAATGAGCTCCAACCCACGGTTTTTGTAGTTGGAGAAGGGCGTTTAGCGCGCTTCGACGATGCCAATTGTGCAGTACAAAGCAGCTTCGCTTTCACAATACACAATTTTAAAAAACACTACATGTGTGTTTAAAAATTATAATAATATCAAAGTCTCCTTTTGGCCAAACTCCTCCCTCCATGATTCTCCTTGCCAAGCCTCTCCAAAACCCTAGCTTCTAGTTAACTCTTTCTTCAACAGTTATGCATGGAGCGAAACACATAAGCTTACTTGCATGCAAACTCAAGCCGCCTGCGAAAGGCATAAGGCCCGTCTTAGCGATAGCACATAGATGACAACAATTGTTGATAAACTGATCGACTTTCCTAGATTCAAAGCAACTTTGATATCCATATGAGTTTAGTATTGTCGAATGAATCTGCGCATAAAAGTAAGACTATTTGGTATTTTTCTAACCTAAAAGTTTATCAAGCATCTCCTGCATTGAAACCAGTTACAGCACAACAGAAAGCAAACGTGGAGACTACCGCGACTTCCTACGTGGCAGGTTTCTCACCAGGCAGATTCCATCAGTAACCTGATTGGCCCAGCCTCCCCAATTCTTGGGCGTACACGTTTTCCAGCTCACCACACAGCTGCACGAAACTTTCTGGGGTTCCCGCGAAAACGGTACAGGCGGTTCGGAAACATTCTCAGATCGTCGCGCTCCTCCAGAATAATCTCTAGCTGGAGGTTACAGTACAGTACCTCCAGTAACCAGTCTCATTTATAGCCCTGTGCTGGCATCATCTCACGCACACGTGCTGGCGCAGATCACGGAAACTGGGCCCTGAGTTCGAAAGTACGCGAATCGGTTCCACTCCACAGCTCACAGTAGTCAAATCGCTGCCTGCCAAGCCGCAGCTCACGCTAATATTTGTACTATCGCGAGCCCAATACAGCGTTGACACTTGTCAATGTGCATCTAACGGAGCTGCGAATCGTGCTTGCCCTTCACGATGTGCGTGTCAAGAGGGCCGGGGGTGGGTCGGCGGGAAAAATATGGAGGTCGCGTGAACATGCGGAAAACGATAGGCGCGGAGGCGCGTCTAGGAGTTGACCGATTAAGCAGCTGGATGTTTTTCCGCTTCGCATCCCTTCGCGCTCCGCCATGTCCACCACTCCCATGCCCTTCCGCTGGTTCTCCCCCCCGCTGATTATTTCGATACCTTCTCCTTGCACGTTCCTGGCATGACATGGCATGGCATGGCATTGCATGGCATGGCATGGCATGGCACGAGGCGGAACGGGACGCCACGGGGCGCGCGCACGGGGGGGAGGGCGGGGGTGTGCGGGGGTGCGCAGTGGAGGAGTTCAAGCGCGGGCAGCGGGTACGCCAACTGCGCACTAACGAGGATGCCACGGAACCCGGCCAGGGCGGCACTGTCAGTGCCCTCCCGTCCGCCCTTCCTGCCCTCCCTCTCCTCCCTGCCCCCCCTTCTCTGCTGCTCCCCCTCCTCCTCGCCCTCGAGTGCCGTGCCATCCCGCTACTGTGTGTGTTTTCAAATGGCGCCTCCACGCGATGCTCCAGTTGTCACACACACCTCTTTTCTCCCCCTCACCCTCCTCCACTCGCTTTGAATTCACCACGGGACGCCCGAGGCACTCAGTATCCACCACAATCGTTGTTCTCCCCCCTCCTATCTCCCTGTCTCCCTCATCTCCCTACATCTCCCCCCTCTCTCGCCCCCAGCTGCTGTCATCAACGCCCTACTACCACGAGCAGCACGGGGAGGGTCTCTTCACGCACAGCCTCTTCCGCCTCGGCAACCGCCTCCCTGACTGGGTGGGTGCCGCGCATTGCCACCTGAAATATCACCTCGCTTGGACTGAGTACCAGAAGGGAAAACGAGTACGCCCCCCTTGTCACACTGGTGCTCGTGTCTTATTCCTTCTGGATACTTAACTTGCTGGCTGAATTCTCTGCTCTGCATGTGCACCTGGTGCATAACGATTGAATCGTGTTTCATTGTGTGTAGGCCTCTTGAATCCAAAAGGCTTCGTTCTGTGCATGCGCCCTTTTCCTGCATTGCATTCACCTGGGTCCCATGCACGTGCTGTGTGCATGCATGCATGCAGGTGAACCGGCTGGTGCCGCCGTCAGTGCTGGTGGTGGATGAGAAGAGCTGGATCAACTACCCCTACTTCCGCACCATCATCACCATCCCCTTCTTTAGCAAGGTGCGTGCCCGCACTCACTGGTTCGCATGCATGCACTAGGTTGGCATTACCATCACCATCATCACCACCCCCTTCTTTAGCAATGTGGGTGCCCGCATTGCTATCACCTTCAGCATCAGCATCAGCATCAGCATCAGCATCAGCATCAGCAACAGCAGCAGCATCAGCATCAGCATCAGCATCAGCATCCATTAGCATCAGCATCAGCATCAGCATCAGCATCAGCATCAGCAACAGCATCAGCATCAGCATCAGCATAGCATCAGCATCAGCATCAGCATTGCATTAGCATTAGCATTAGCATTAGCATCAGCATCAGCATCAGCAATCAGCAATCAGCATCAGCATCAGCATCAGCATTGCATCAGCATCAGCATCAGCATCAGCATTCAGCATTAGCATTAGCAATTAGCATTAGCATTAGCATCAGCATCAGCATCAGCATCAGCAACAGCATCAGCATCAGCATCAGCATTGCATCAGCATCAGCATCAGCAACAGCATCAGCAACAGCATCAGCATCAGCAACAGCATCAGCATCAGCAACAGCATCAGCATCAGCAACAGCATCAGCATCAGCAACAGCATCCATCATCAGCATCAGCATCAGCATCAGCAAAACCACCCGCCGACCTCACCATCTCTTTCCCAACCCCACCTCCCCACTTCCCCCCCACCCCTTCCTCCCCAGCACGCATGGAGATCGAGACCATTGCAGGACGGTGGCTCATTCCCCAACGCCTTCGGGCTCCCCCACTTCCCCACTCCTTTCCTCCTCTCTTGAAAAGATTCTCCCTTCCCCCACTTCCCCACTCCTGTCTCCTCTCTTGAAAAGATTCTCCCTTCCCCCACTTCCCCACTCCTTTCTCCTCTCTTGAAAAGATTCTCCCCTTCCCCCACTTCCCCACTCCTTTCTCCTCTCTTGAAAAGATTCTCCCCTTCCCCCACTTCCCCACTCCTTTCTCCTCTCTTGAAAAGATTCTCCCCTTCCCCCACTTCCCCACTCCTTTCTCCTCTCTTGAAAAGATTTCCCCCACTCCCCACTCCTTTCTCCTCTCTTGAAAAGATTCTCCCCTCCCCCACTTCCCCACTCCTTTCTCCTCTCTTGAAAAGATTCTCCCCTTCCCCCACTTCCCCACTCCTTTCTCCTCTCTTGAAAAGATTCTCCCCTTCCCCCACTTCCCCACTCCTTTCTCCTCTCTTGAAAAGATTCTCCCCTTCCCCCACTTCCCCACTCCTTTCTCCTCTCTTGAAAAGATTCTCCCCTTCCCCCACTTCCTTTCTCCTCTCTTGACTCCCCTTCCCCCACTCCCCACTCCCTTTCTCCCCTTCCCAGCTGCGCATGGAGATCGAGACCATTCACCTGCAGGACGACGGCTCGCACCCCAACGCCTTGGGATTGTCACCAGCTGAGCTGGCGCTGCGGCGCGTGGACTGGATGGATATTGGCAGTGAACCTGTGGCCAAACGCGACTACAAGGCCGAGCTCGACCCGTTATTGGTCCGCTCTAAGCTCACAGGGTGAGTCAACGCCAGTCAACACCTTGGGATTGTCGGGGCGCTGCGGCGCGTAGACTGGATGGACATTGGCAGTGAAGCCGACTGCTGGTCCGCTCCAAGCTCACAGGGTGAGTCAACGCCAGTCAACGCCTTGGGATTTTCAGAGGGTGGACTGGATGGACACTGGCAGCGAGCCTGTGGCCAGAAGGGACTACAAGTCCGAGCTGGACCCACTGCTGGTCCGCTCCAAGCTCACAGGGTGAGTCAACGCCAGTCAACGCCTGTCGACGTTTTGGCCAGTTCCCTGCTCTCTCACACCCCCCCTCACTCCCTCCCTTCCTCGCTCTCCCATTCCCTCCTCGCCCCTCCCCACCAGTCGAGGCCCCCTAACCCCGAGTTGGCAGCAGAAGGGGCGCTACCTGATGTGTGCGTACAAGGTGGTCCACGTCCTAGCCCACTCTCCCCCCATCTCCCACCCTCTGTCCCCCATCCTACCCCAGTCGCGGCCCCCTAACCCCAGGGTGGCAGAAGAGGGAGCGGCCTCTCATGTGTGCATACAAGGTGGTGCGAGCCCAGGCGGAGTATTGGGGTGTGCAGAACAGTGCAGAGCGGCTGCTCATCAACTCGCTCAGGCAGGTGGGTGGGTGCACGTGGGTGTGGAATGTGAGTGTGGGAGTGGGCGTGGGAATGGGAATGCATGGGTAGTTGGTGCTGCGTCATGCCATCACAGGCGGAGTACTGGGGTGTGCAGAACAGTGCAGAGCGGCTGCTCATCAACTCGCTCAGCCGCTCTGTGCTGTCAGGTGGGTGGGTGGGTTGTCGGTGAGGGTGTGGGTGGGGATGCTGGATTGGAGTGAGTGGATTGGAGGACCAGTGTTGCTGCCTCATCTCATGCCATCACAGGCGGAGTACTGGGGTGTGCAGAACAGTGCAGAGCGGCTGCTCATCAACTCGCTCAGGCAGGTGCGTGGGGGCAGGTGGGTGTGGTTATGGGTGTGGGTGAGGGTGTGGGAATGCGTGTGCTGGTGCTGCTGTCTCATGCCACCACATGCGGAGTATTAAGGCGTGCAGAGCAGCGCAGAGAAGCTGCTCATCAACTCGCTCAGGCAGGTGCGTGGGAGCAGGTGGATGGACTTGGATGGTTATGGTTGATGTGATGCGATGCAACGCTTTGCCATGCCTTTTGAGACGTAAGGCCTCCGCAGCCCACCTGTTCTCTCAACAATATGGTTGATGTGATGCGATGCAACGCTTTGCCATGCCACCCGCATCACACATCTACGTCCAGACAATCAACACCGCCCATTTCAAGCCTTCCTATCCGCAACGTCGTTCCCCCCGTCACCTCCTCCCCCTACCCCCCACCCCCCCCCCCCCCCCCCCCCCCCATCTCCCTTCTCCCACCAGATATTCCTGCGAGCGCACAAGAACTGCTTTGGCCTCGTAGACTACTGGTATGGTATGCAGTGGCGGCACAGTGTGCTATGCCCGGCTATACCATACCCCACCACGCCCCCCTGAAGCCCCGCTTTCCCCCGTGCCTCCCTTCCCTCACCAGATCTTCCTGCTAGCGCACAAGAACTGCTTCGGGCTCTTAGACCACTGGTACCCGCTCTCGCTCGAACAGGTTCGCCCCAGCCCTCTCCCACACGCTCTCTCTTCCCCACACTCTTGCTTCCTCACCCTGTCTGCCCACACGCTCTCTCTTCCCCACACTCTTGCTTCCTCTCCTCACCCTGTCTGCCCCTCTCTCTTCCTCACCCTGTCTGCCCCTCTCTCTTCCTCACCCTGTCTGCCCCTCTCTCTTCGTACGTACCCTGCTCACTTCTTCCCCCCAACTTTCTTCCCTTTTTTCTCTTAGAACATCGTTTCCGTTTTTTCACCTCCTCCTCTCTATCCCTCCCCCTCCTCCCTCCGTCTCCCCGTCAGAGCATTGCAATCACTGACAAGAACAAGCCACAGGTTCAGGTCCCAAAGCCCCTTTTTCCTCTCCTCTCCTCTCCCTTTCGCCCACCCCCCTCCCCTGCTCTCCGCCTCCCCGTCAGATCATTGCAATCACCGACAAGAACAAGCCTCAGGTCCCCGTCCCAAAGCCCCTCCCTCCTCCCGAACCTGCTGCCGAGCCTGTTCCAGAACCTGCCTCCGAACCTGAAGGTCGTAGCAAGAGGGACGGGTTGATAGCGGGCGGTGTGGAAGAGGGGAGGGAGGGGAGGAGGGATGGGATGCTGACAAGAGGGAGTGAGAGTGAGGGAGGTGAGGGGGAGGGGGAAGGGGAGGAGACGGAGGAGGAATCAGAGGAGGAGGATGAGGAGTGGGATGATGAAGTGGAGTTCTACGAAGCACAGGTGAGAGATGCGCCTGCCATACCCCACTCTCGTGCATCTAACTTCACAGCAGCAGAAGAGTTGAAGCAGAAGGCTGTTTGTATCGCATCACAAGCATAACCACAGCCCCTCAACCCTCCCTCCGCGAACCCCGCTGATTCTATTACTGTCTAAATGGTGATCATACTGTGTACCTAGCTCGTCCGTGTCCTCACAAGCATACTGTGTACCTAGCTCGTCCGTGTCCTCACGGCCTCGTTTCTTGTCCCTTGCTCGCTCTACCCTGTACCCTGTGTGTACTCTGCATGGTTGCAGATGCAGTGGGCGGCCGAGGAAGAACTCTTCGGAGAGAAGATGCTTTCAGGTGAATTCTCGAGAATCCAGGTGAAATGACAGAAATCTCTGCTGTGCCCCTCTGCTGTGCTCCTCTCTGCTGTGCTCTTCTGCTTTGCTCGCTCGCACCAGCAATCCCTACCTCTGCCTTCCTCCCCGCCCTTTCCCCCCTTTCTCCTTCATCCAGACCTGGGTCATCCGCTCTCCCTCTGCTTGGAGCAGCCCCCGCCCCTCTGCCCCCTCTGCTGTGCGCGCACACACCACCAGGGCGGGCAGCTGGAGGGGAGAGAGAGGTCGGCGGAAGCTGGCAGGGCAGTGCAAGAGTGTGCGCCGGCTGTGTTCTGTGTGTCGTGTGGCGAGTTCTTCTGCCACCGCTGCTTTCACGAGGTGAGGATGCGAGAGGCATACCGATGACTTGGGAGGGAAGCGTCTCAAACGTCGCCTGAGTGGGTGCCTGCTGTGTGTGTCCTGCGTTTCCTTTGTGGCGTTGAGAGGCAAGGCTGGAGAGGACTTAATGGTGGTCTCCATGCCCTTCCCCCTGTCCCCATGCCCCCCTGCCCCCATGCCCCCATGCCCCCATGCCCCCATGCCCCCATGCCGCACGCATGCCCCATGCCCCATGCCCAATATTCCTCCATACTCTTATGCCTCATGCCCCATACCCCCATCGTGACAGTTCCACATCACGCCTCGCTTGCAGCAGCATGCCACACACCCCATCGCTTCTTCCCAGACGATTCCTCCTGCCGCCCCTGCTGACGCACAGAATGGCTACTCTCTCCACTCAATCAGAACCTGCCACGTGGCAGCACAGACACTGTCCCCACGCCCCCTACCACCACCAGTCACCGCATTGCACCCAGCGGCACCAGCACAACCACAAGTAAATACCGAGGAGGACTACTCAATTGGTGTCGGCAGCGCTGGTGCTGTTGCTAGTGCTCCCTCTGCTGCTACCTCTGGTGCTGCTGCTGCTGCTGCCTCTGTTGCTGCTTCTGCTGCGCGCACAGAGAGGAGGAGGCAGAAAGGCAGAGGCGAAGGGGATTGAGAGAGCAGGGCAAGGGAGGGGGAGAGGGAGGAGAGGGAGGGCATGATGCTAGCGGCTCGAGAGGTGAGAGCGGAGGAGAGGAGGACGAGAGGGAGAGGAGGGAGGGAGGAGAGGGAGAGGAGAGGGGAGGAGAGGAGGAGCAAGGAGTGGAGGGGGAAGGGCAGCCTACTGGGGAGAGATGGGGTCGCAGGGGGAGTTGGCGTATGGGGAGAGGGGGAGAAGGGGGAAGAGGGTTTGTCGGAGGAGGGGGGAAGGGGAGCAGGGTTGTGGGGGGGAGGAGGGGTTGAGAGGGGGGATGGGAGGAGAGCAAGTGGGAGGTGGGTCGCAGGTAAGCGCAGCAGCGCTGCCTTGAAACAGCAGAGATTCCCAGGCGGATTTCCAGGTGGAAACTCAGGTGCTTTCAGCAGAGGCCGCAGAGGGCAGGGACGTGGCAGAATCGGAGCTCATTCAACTTGTGGTTACATGGTAACCCTGATAAAGCTTCTAGAAGCGGATACTCCTCTTGCTGCAGCTGCTACTGCTGGTACTGCTGCTTCTGCTGCTTCTGTTGCTGCTGCTGCTTCTGCTGCTGCTGCAGCGGCTCCTGCTGATGCTGGTTGTGCTGCTGAATCTGCTGCCGCTGCTGCTCCCAACGATTCCAACATTCCCAGCACTCGACGTGCTGCCTATGCCAGTGATCCCAGTGCGTGTGCCTCTGGCAGCGGAAGTGCACAGGGGGCGAGCCCCATTTGGGAAGGGCAGGCTGGCATGCAGGAGGGGTCAAGTGGGAGGCCAGTGAGGGAGCGGCTAAGGGAGGAGTACGAGGGGCGACCTGTAGAGCTCTCAATGGCTCTCGTTGGTGGTATCCTCGCCATCTATAAGGCCGCTGCTAACGCTGATGCTAATGCTAATGCTGCTTCTGCTACTGATGCTGCTGCTGCTGCACCCTCCGCCGCCTTGCACGGAATCCCATCCCCACACTGACCTCCTCGCTATCCTCACCATCGCTCGCAGTCGCTGGGTTCCGGAGCATCTCAGCCATCCGTCTCTGCCCGGCACTCTGACTCCGCCCTGGCTCACATTGACCCTCCCACCCCTCTCTCCACCTCTCACCCTCCCTTGCCTTCTTCCAACATATCCTCTCAGCAGCCGCAGCGGCAGCAGCAGCAGCAGCAGCCAGGCACCCATTTGAACGCTCACCGCGCCTTCTCCTGGATGGGTCCTAGAGTCTTCTCCCGCTCCGCCTCCTCCCCCACCCTCTCTCACACTCACTCACACACCACTGCTGCCCCACACTCGTCCGCTGCTTCTCTCACTTCCACTCTCTCTGCTGCCGCTACCAATTCCCCTGGTCCTCTGTTGCCAGTCTTCCTGGCAGCATTGCAAGCTCAGCAGCGGCTGTTGCTGGCGTTGCTCCTGATTTGCCTGAAGATGATGTTGTGTGCTGGTGACTCAGCACCTGGGGTTGCTGATGTGACTGTAACATATGGGGAAAATGTGACTGTAACAAATGGGGAAAATGTGACTGTAACGGATGTGCAAGTGGTTCTGGACTATCTGGCATCGGAAGCAGGCACAGCTCATCGACATGAGCTCCAACGGTTCAGGTGAGGAGTCAGGTGCCTTGCAATTGAGTCAGGTGCCTTGCAACGGAGTCAGGTGCCTTGCACACAGAGCCAGGTTCCTTGCAACAGAGTCAGGTGGCCATGCATAATTGGCTGATAAGTTGTCTCTTTATGATTGTTTATCTGCGTGGAGGCACACCCCTCAACCTCCCTCAACCCCTCTCCACCCACCCCTTGTCTCAGGATCCTATCAGAGCTGCTGGCAGGACATGCAGCCACAGCAGCTGGGGCACTCGGAGCGACTGGCCTTCTGGATCAACGTGTACAATGCACTAGCCATGCATGTGAGGGCGGTCATAGTGTGTGCATGTAGGATGGGTTATACTGTGCGCATATGGTGCTGTGCATGTGAGATGGGGCACACTATGCACTAGAGGGGGGTCTTGTGCATGTGAGCGGGGTCTTGTGCATGGGCTGCTTATGCATGCGAGACGAGTATGGTGTGATCTGCATGTGTGCATATACATGAGAGGTGCATGTGAGAGGGGGTCCTGTGCATGTGAGAGGGGGGGTCATGTGCATGTGAGAGGGGTCTGTGCATGTGAGAGGGGGTCATGTGCATGTGAGAGGGGGTCATGTGCATGTGAGAGGGGGTCCAAGGTGCATGTGCTGCCATGCTATCGCACTGCCATGCATATCGCACTGCCATGCATATCGCACTGCCATTCCTGTGAGCAGGCATACCTGTAGAGTCAAATCGTGCATCTGTCGCCATCCCTCCTCCTTTCCGTCCTGCATCACTGCCTTGCCTTCACTTGTCCACCCCTCTCGCTTCCTTGGCCCGCACACACGTCCTCGCCTTCACCATCGGCTGCTTGTCTCTTCCTCCCCCTCCTTTCACCCCCTTTCCCCCCTTTCCCCCCTTTCCCCCCGTTTCCCCCCTTTCCCCCCTTTCCCTCCTTTCCCCCTTTCCCCCTTTCCCCCTTTCCCCCAGGGCGTATCTGGTGTAATGGCCAGCCACGCAGCCATACAAGCGAGTCATGTTCATGCACAAGGTTTGACTCCTCTCTCCCCTCCCCTCACTCCCCCCCTCTCACTCCCTCCTCCTCTCTCCTCTCCCTTTTCCTCCCCTCACTCCCCACCCCTTATTCCCCTCCACTCCCCTCCCCTCACATCACTCCCCTTCTTTCCTGCTGTGACACAGCCCCCACGTTTCCCTACTCCTTGCTAAGCTGGTGCCACCCACCTCCTAATCTCCCAGTCAACATCCCTCATAACCTGTTTCTGCCATCAACCCTTCCTATTCCTCATCTTCCTCATTCCCCTGCTCTCGCCCTCCTCTCACCATCTCCACCCCCCTTCCTCAATCTCCCCTTCCCCCACCCCCCCAACAACGCCCCCCTGTCTCCACCCATGCAGTCGGCCTAGATCAGTGTCGTGCCTTCCCATGCTTGTTCCCCCATGTTCACTCGCCAGCATCTTCCCCTCTCCCCCTGCCCCCTCCCCCCTTCCCCCCTCCCCTCCCATTCAACCCACCCCTGCCGCCACCCATGCATGCAGTCGGCCTACATCATTGCTGGCCTGCCCTTCTCCATCCTCGCTATAGAGCACTGCATTTTAAGAGCTGCGTCCTTCCAACCAGCACTGGTAAGTCCCATGATTCTCCCATCTCACCCTCCCCCCTGCCTTGCACCCACATGTATTCCAGGCCTGCGCTCCCATCACTGTCCCTGCCCCCCTTGCCCCCTCCCCTCCTCCCCCTCCCTTCAAAATCCCACACAAAAATGCTCACACACGCACGAAAGTATCCACTACCACCCTGCTTTTCCCCCTTTTCCAGGCGGGTCTGCTGCCAGTGCAGCGCTACAGGCGGGGGGACGTGCGTGGCGCTACAGCCTGGCTCTGCACCCTCGTCACACCTCCTTCCCTTCCCCACCGTCCACCCTCTCAACATTCTCCTCTCAGGCGGGTCTGCTTGCCAGTGCAGCGCTACAGGCGGGGGGGACGTGCGTGGCGCTACAGCCTGGCTCTGCACCCATCGTCACACCTCCTTCCCTTTCCCCACCGTCCACCCTCTCAACATTCTCCTCACAGGCGGGTCTGCTGCCAGTGCAGCGCTACAGGCGGGGGGACGTGCGCTACAGCCTGGCTCTGGACCGGCCCGAGCCTCTCGTCACTTTGCTCTCAGCTGTGGCTGCGCCTTCCGCTCCCCCTGTAAGCCTCGCCTCCCTCTGGCCTCCTCACTCTCACCCCCCCTCTCCATTCCCTCCCTCCTCTCCCCTTTTTACATGTGCTGTTTCTGCCCTGGCATTTACACATTCGCACATTACTTGCCACTGTGCTATCACACCCTCACCCTGATCCCCAGTTTCCTGTGCAAATTGCCCTCGACTGTCCGATTATGTTTTTCATCGTTTTCCCATCAACCAATCAGGTCCGAGTGTACCACCCTGACACTGTTCACGAGCAACTGAAAGCAGCTGCCCAGGAATACATTCAGGCAAACGTAAAGCTGCATCCGGGCAGCGGGAAAATTCTGCTTCCCAAGCTCCTGCACTGGTACAGCAAGGATTTTGCAAGAAACGCAGTGGGACTGTTGCAGTGGGCAAGCTGAGCAAAATGGAAGACGGGCAGAAAGCATAACATTTGCAGGCTATGGGTGCTGCTGGAGGTTCCAGGAAGGTTCGGCTGGGGAGGTTCCTGTGCAGGTTCTCGCATATGATTGGACCTTCCAATATCTGCTGGCGTGACAGCATCTCAATTTCCTAAAACCTGTTAAAAGACATACGTAATTTATTTGACATCCATAAAGGCCACCTTAAGGAAACATCTCTTCGAATACTGCTTCAAATAGCCAGCATGGGATTACTCTTCCCATGTCAGTAACTTACTAGCAAACACAGCTGTAACAGCCAACCCTCAGCCATCCCCACATCATTTCCTCTCGCGCTGCTCCCCTCTGTTTCCTTTTCTAACCACTTCTGTTTGTCATTTTCCTACACTCTCCAGCAACGATCTCCCACTGAACCTAATCACAAGCGTCTCGCAGTCCCCTTCGACGACAGAATTCAGGCCGTCAAGGGGAAATTCTTCGGGAACACATACGTCCCGTTGACGCGCCACGTGGCAGGCAGTATGTTCAGCGCCGTGAGGCTGAACTTCTTGAGTGCGCTGACGACGTGAAACGAGATCGGTACGCCAATGACTTTCACTCCGCTCGCTGACCAAACTCCGCCGAAATTCCGCGCCATGGGCAGCCACGCTGCGCCGCCCACTTTCATGTGCACGGACGCGATTCCCGCCAGGCCCCGCGGCGTTCATTATAAGCACCCCAATAAAGTAATCCGTCCCCATGAACCGGCTTGAAAACGAGACAGCCTTGTCGTTTGCAACGGGATTCGCGCAAGTCGCACGCGAATGTTCCCCGCGACGCGGTTCTTCACAATCTGATCGTACACCCACGGCGACATTATCACTCCTTTTTTCCCGGGCCGGCAGATTCCGGATCGCGGCTGCCGATACACTCACTGGTGGCCGTCACGGCGACGATCTTATCCCTGCCGGCACATCTGCGACTTGACGCATTGCAAGGCGTAACACGCGCCGCATCCGGTGCCGTTCTCGTAGAGCTTGAGGAAATCGCGATGGTGGGGAGGATTGTACGGCCGCACACCATTAGTCTTGCCGTAGCCGCAAGAGCCGCCGTCCTCGCCTTGGATCAACGAGAGAGTGCCCGTGAATTTGCTGTCCCACACGCCGTACTCCTCGACTGGCTGCTGCGCGGGTTGCCATAAGGAGAAGGAGTAAGAGAGGCGGCAGGGCTAGTGCTGCTAGTCGAGTTCTTCCGCGCGCCATGTCGTGCAGTTTGCGTTCCGTGCAGAGGAGGTAGAAATGTGGCAAGTGCTCTTGAGTTGGAATGGAATCTCGTGGATGAAAAATCTCGGTGCAGTGATGTGGACTGGTTTGAACGCGGAGGTTGTGGGCCAAACTGAGTGTCGACGAACGTCAGACTAATAAATAGGGTCAGGGGTGGGTGGGGTGAGGTTCAAATTGGGGAGGATGGGGAAGAGGAGAGTTGAGGCAAGGCAAGCGAATGCAATGTCGGTGTTATCGCGTCGCGGTGAGGCGGTCAACATTGGTCAATTTTCTGCTATAGCGAAGTGCGATGCTGCGTCAAACGAAGGACGACTCGGCGATCATCAATGCGACGCGTGAGACTTTGCAATGGGCATTCCTTTATCATGATCGACGATTCTCCGCATGACACGGCGCCCTGGAAAGGGCGCAAACAAAATGAATCTAAGAGTGGTTCATTTTAGTTTCGAGGAGTTTCCCGATTGAAACAAACAGTAGCTCGCAAAAATATTAAATTTACTACTACAGAAAATTGTTTGATTCTCTAAATCGAAGTGAAATGAAAGCAATTTCTTTCTCCATTATCAGTCCTAGTTGAACATCTCCGGTACAAGCAGCTACAGTTCATTCTGGAATCCGCACCAATTTCGGCAGGAGTTCCACAAATTGCCACGTAGTCCCATTTGCATCACCAGAACCTGAATATCTTCCATTGCATGACCATGGCTGCCTCTGTTACATCACTGCTGCCAGCGTCCGTAATCCCTGCGCGCGATGCTAGCTCATTCCACGGAGAATCGTCTAAACGATCCCTCCTTAAACCTTTACTCGGTCGTCATGCTGATCTTGCCGCCTTGCGCGGGAATCCGGGCATCAGGAATCGGACGAAACTCGCTTCACCTTACGGCCGCGATTCCGTGCAACCACACGATGAACGGACTTTCCGCGTGCGCGCAGCAGCCACTGCGGGCAGCGCAGCGGCAGATTCAGCGGAGGCCGAGAGCACAGTGGCGGAAGACATGAAGCAGCGGAGAGGCCTCCGCGGCAAAACCGAGGCTGACGTCATCGTCATCGGTTCCGGAATCGGCGGGCTCTGCTGCGGCAGCCTCCTCGCGCGCTACGGCCGCGACACGCTCGTGCTCGAAAGCCACTACCTCCCGGGCGGCGCGGCGCACGGATTCACGCGAAACGGCTTCTCGTTCGACACGGGCCCATCGCTGTTCTCAGGATTGTCGTCGCGCGGCCCGCAGGCGAACCCGCTCGCGCAGGTTCTCGACGCGCTGGGGGAGACCGTGCCGTGCGCGGCGTACGACAGCTGGATGTGCTACCTGCCTGAAGGCGACTTCCTCTCCCGCATCGGCCCGTCTCACTTCATTGAGGTGTGGTAGTGCGAGTAGCACCTTCCTTCTCTAACTCATGCCATGTGCACGTGCGCACCGTGTGCAGGTGTATGGGTGTGCGGGTGTGCGGGTGTGCGGGTGTGTAGGTATGAGGGTGCGCGGGCACTGATTACAGCGAATTTTCACTTTCTTGTAGGCGCCAGTTCTTCAGCCTCTGTAATACCGCGCCTGCTTGCAACGGTCCTCACTGCTCGCCTGTGCTCCCTTCTCTGCCCCTGCCTTAAACTCCGTTCCTTTCCCCATCCCTCCCTCCCTCCCGTCCCCCATCCCTTCCCCATCCCTCCCCCCCTCCCTTCCCCCTCCCGCCCTCCCTGTGCGCGCAGGTCTTACAGCAGCGAGTGGGGGAGGACGCTGTGCGCGACTGGCGCAAGCTCATGGTGAGGTGCTAGACGGCTCATGGTGAGGTGCTAGACGGCTCATGGTGAGGTGCTAGACGGCTCATGGTGAGGTGCTAGACGGCTCATGGTGAGGTGCTAGACGGCTCATGGTGAGGTGCTAGACGGCTCATGGTGAGGTGCTAGACGGCCACCGCCCCTGCTCTCTGCATGCATGCGTGCGTGCCAATCGGTTTCACTTTGCCTCCCTGAACTCCTAAACCCACCTGCGTGCCATTTGCTGATTGCCTTGACGACAGTGCTTTCTGCTTCCCTCCTAACCTATCCAGACGTCTCATCCCAATCCGCTTTAACCTGTTTCCTCATCATGCCGCACAGGTATTGCGGAAACCTCTTGCTTCTAGCTTCTAGCCAGCCCCTCTTCCCCACCCAAAACCGACCCCTCCCCTCTCCCTCCTGCACCGCTCTCTCCTCCACACCCACGCGCACCTCCTTTCCCCCAACACGTGACAGTCAGTGGTGGAGCCTCTAGCCGGGCCCTCCATGGCCCTTCCCCCAGCCGCTCTTTGCAGCACAGCACCCCACCCACTCTCTTCCCCCCTTCCCCCTTCCCAATCTCCTCCACCCCCCTTTCCTTTTTCCCACTCCCCTCGCCCCCACAGGCAGTGGTGGAGCCTCTAGCCGGGCCCTCCATGGCCCTTCCCCCAGCCGCTCTCCGTGCTGACCCTGCTGTGCTGCTCACCGCAGGGCTGAGGTACGGGCCGAGCTTGCTCCGCACGTTCGGCAACGCTGGGCCTGCAGGTGAGGCAATGGGGGAACTGTGGTGTTTCTCTCTCGTGTAACCTCCAAGTCGAAGGCGGAAATGGTTGTGGTGACTTTTGAGTCGACTCAGAAGTCAATGGCATCAGCGAGTGGATTAGGTGCAAAGCAACGCAGCACTGCAGTGCAGTGGCGTGGGGCCGTTGCCTTCCCTGGCCCACTGCCGATGCAGTGGCAGTGGGCAGATGACCCCTTCTTGCCTATCGTGGACTCTCCTCTCCTACTCCTCTCCTTTGCCCTATTCTCACCCCTCTCCCCCACCCGCACGCCTCCTCCTGCAGCTGCGCTCAATGCATCTAAGCTGATGGGTCCGTTCTCCTCGCTAGCCAACTCAGTGGGAGTGAAGCACCCCTTTGTGCGCAACTGGATCGACCTGCTTCTCCTTCCTGCTGTCGGGACAGAAGGCCGACGCCACCATTGCGGCTGAAGTGGTGAGCTGCTCTCGTATTTTCCTCCGCTTCCGTTGTAGTGTTGTACTTACCTGCGGTTTCTCCACTAACACAGGTTTCTCTGCCATGGCATCTTCACCTTTCCTCTCCTTGCCTCTCTCAGGAACCCTGCTCTTCACATCTGAACACCCTCACCCCCGTATCTCCCTATCCCCCCCTATCCTCGCCCAGGTGTACATGTTTGCAGAGTGGTACAAGCCTGGGAGCGTCATGGAGTACCCTCATCCCTAGTCGCCTCAATTATGACTTCTTAAGCCACCTAAAACATTGTCTCTGCCGCCTTCTACCCCCCCTGCCTCTCCCCCAGGTGTACATGTTTGCAGAGTGGTACAAGCCAGGGAGCGTCATGGAGTACCCTCTCGGCGGCCCAGAGGCGATTATTGAGGCGCTTATAAGGGGGATGGAGAAGCACGGCGGGCAGCTCTCCCTGAACTGCCACGTGGACAGCATAGTGGTGGAGGGCGGCCGGGCAGTCGGCGTAAAAACTTAAATCCGGGCAGGTTGTTCGCGCCCGAACAGCCGTGGTGAGTAATGCATCGGTGTGGGATACCATGCGACTGCTGCCACCCGGGGAGTGTACCTGCGGAGTATCGGAAAGAGAGGGAGGCTACACCTGAGTGTGATTCATTTCATGCACCTGCATCTCGGAATCAAGAAGGAGAATCTTCCTGCTGACCTGGAAATCCATCACAATCGTGGTCAATGATTGGTCGGTCGGTGTCGATGCGCCTCAAAACGTGGTCCTCATCTCCATCCCGACGGTTCTCGATGCGTCACTGTCGCCACCTGTCACCGTCTCATTGCACGCGTACACTTCCGGGGACCGAGCCCGCTTCCCTGTGGCAAGGCCTGGATAGGCGATCGGCTGAATACAAGAAAGCTGAAGGAGGAGAGGGCTGAGGTGATGTGGAAAGCAGTGGAAAAGGGTACTTGGTCCCGGGTTTCTCACGGGATCAAATGTGAATTGGCATTGGTTGGCACCCCCTTGACTCATGGGCGGTATTTAAGGAGGCACCGAGGCACTTATGGGCCGGCAATCAAGGCAGGTGTGGGGACGTTTCCAGGTTCGACGACGCCTCTTCCGGGCCTGTTTTGCTGTGGGGATTCGACGTTCCCAGGAATCGGTGTGCCTGCGGTTGCCGCTAGTGGAGTGGTGGCGGCTAACACACTGACCCCTGTGTGGGACCACTGGAAGTTGCTTGATGCTATTGGTATCTGAACTGATCTGAGAGAAGCTTTTATTTTAATAAGGTATTAACATATGCTACATAACTAGAGTATGGATTATTTTGAGAATGTATGAAATACTACTACCGTGACGTCTTTTGCAAGAAGGAATGATTGGAAAAAAGGAGAATCAACTGTTCAGACTTTGTGACACAAGCGCCTGGCAGCCGATCACTGGTCGCAAGCAAGTAGTCCAGGGTTGAGCGAAATGCACTATGTCGAATGTGGCCAACAGTGAATGTAGCTCACCAATAGCACATTTCTGCGGGACCTCTCTACACAAACAGCCCGCTCGCGGTTCGCCAGCTGGTCGCAGAGTTTCTCGCTGTACTGTCTAAAGGGCCGTGACCATGACCCAGGGGGTCTGAGCGACATCTGATTTTTTCCTGTGAAGCTCGCTACAAGTGTTTGGGCCAAACCCTTGAATGGTCAAAGTACCCGTGGCAGCGTGTCCAGGCGCACTTGCACACATGCACTTGCGACCGAGGGCCAAAGCCCAGGGTTATCGCAAGGGACACTTGCGACAAGACGATACGGCCCATGATGTAAATAGCGCGGTGCGACAATACGTCCGGTGATCGCACAACCGACCCGTCCCTTGTAAAATTTGCCCAGGCCAATCGTAGGGCTCACAGCAAGCGATCGTTCTATATCCGCACAGCACTTGCTGTGCGAGAACGCTCGCATGGCTCGTTAGATTCATCACACGGCATGCAATTAGGCAAAGCGACAGCTAGCCTTGATTCTAGTTCTGTTGCGTCGCACGCACTATCCCGTCGCAAATGCCATTCGCAAATTCCAATTCCCCATCAAACCCAACCAGCCGAACACCTTCGTCACCTGTCCATTCCCTCAGGGTCTTCCTTTCCTGTCTCTTCCTCCCTGACTTCCTACATTCACATCCCCCTACCCTTCCTTCCAATCTTGCTTCTCAATCCCCAGCACGCAAGTTTTTTTTCACCTGCTTGTTCTAGTTCTCCCTATCCTTCGTGTTACACAGAATCTTGCGAAGCATAGCGCGACGCGCGTTGTATTCTGATTTCGTTTATCAATATTGGCGCCTTATTCCACAGGCGCAGAATACGGTACTCTTAGGGTCACGTGCTGCGAATTGTTTCCGCGTAGCAAAGTCTTCTGCGGGTGCTTTCTGGTTTTAATAGCCAATATGGGCGGTTGACAAAGGCGGTACAGAATTTTGTAGCCCGTTCTCCTCTACTAGTGGTGTCGAGCTCGTACTCTGAAGGCATGGCGACGTCGACAGAAGACGGCGAAGCGGATTACATGGTTAGCTCCTTAATCGTCAAAACCTTTTGCACAGCCAGTTTCGTTCAGCTACACGATTATGTTGGCTAAACCATTCGCTTTTCGTCTCGTCAACTCGTACTGATCTGCCGAAAGATGCTTCCATACCCTTTTTTCTTTTATGATCTACTGTTTATGCCGTGCCCGTTTATTTCTCATGTTTTTCGTGAATCGACTGTTGCCTTCGAGCGCAGCGGTATCTAGACTCGGAGCAAGCAGTCATGGATTACGACATGTGCGACGAAGACAGCGACGAATGCGACGCGTACGACTATACCGATGACAGCAGCGACGCGGACAGTCAAGATGGCTCACAGGGAGATTGGGACTGGGACGCGACGCCTCGGCGGGACAGGACGGCCGACGCGCGGCAATATCAAGGAGAAGACGACTCGGACGAGGACAACGACATGGTCCGTCCATCGTCCATTGTCCATTGTCCGTTTGCGCGATGTATCATTGTCTCACGTGCCCTCTGCCTGCTGTCCTCCTCTCTGTTGCGTATGGCTGTCGCTTTTCTTCCAAACCATCTCAGTTTACTCACCTGCTCCAGCCATATTCCCTTTGAATACGGAGATTATTCTCCAACCTGTCTATGCCCCTGCCCCTGCCCCTGCCCCTGCCCCTCCTCCCGCACCACCTTTCCCCTCCCTCTGGCAGCTGGACGGCGGCGGCGGACGTGAGCGCACAACAGGCGGCGCGGGGGCGGGACATTCAGGGCATCCCGTGGGAGCGGCTGCACTTCACGCGCGGCAAAGTACCGCGCCATGCGCCTGCAGCAGTACAAGAACTACAAGAACCTCGACGTCCCATTGGACGCTGTCGATAAGGTGCGATTTGGGGCGCTGGGGGCGCTGTGGATAAGGTGCGCGCACGTGCTTTAGCTCGTAGCTGCGTGAGCCTGCAGCAGTACAAGAACTACAAGAACCTCGACGTCCCATTGGATGCTGTCGATAAGGTGCGGTTTGGGCGCTGGGGGCGCTGTGGATAAGGTGCGCGCTACGTGCTTTAGCTCGTGCTGCATGCGCCTGCAGCAGTACAAGAACCTCGACGCGTCCCGTTCGATGCTGTTGACGAAGGTGGGCTTTGGGTGCTGCAGGCGATAAGGTGCGCGTACACACTTGACCAGTGGTGCATTTCCAACTGTGCATGTCAACGGTGCAGATTCATTGGTGCATTCCTAATCCCGTTCGTTTGCCTTGGCATGTGTAACTGTGTGCTGTGTGTGACTCTGTGCGTGTGACTGTGCGCATGTGAGTGCGCGTGTGATTGTGCGCGTGTGACTCTACGTGTGTGACTGCGTCCTGCGCGCAGGAAGTGAAGCAGGTCAGCACAGACGCGGAGTTTCTTCAGTTTCGCCTACAACACGCGCGCCGTCAAGTCCACCATCGTGCACTTCCAGTACGCCCCCCCAGATACGCCCGCCCAGGTGCGCCCGTCCAGATACGCCCGCCCAGGTGCGCCCGTCCAGATACGGCCGTCCAGGTGCGCCCGTCTAGATACGCCCGTCCAGGTGCGCCCGTCCAGGTACGCCCGCCCAAGTACGCCCGTCCAGAATACGCCCGTCCAGGTGCGCCCGTCCGGGTGCGCCCTTCTCCTTCCAGGCTTGCGGCATTGAAACTTGCTCGTGACGCGTGCTGCTTGCCATCACAATGCGATGCGAATGCATCAACAGCAACGTCACACCTCGTTCCTCATCCCCCCCTTCCTCCTCTGTTCCTCCCCTCCCCCCCGATCCCGCCTTCCCCCTCCCCTTCCTACCCCCTCCCCCCCTCCCCACCTCCCCCCCCAGCTGCGCAACCTAGTGTGGGCGACGTCGAAGCATGACGTGTACACCGATGCACGGCCACACCATCGGCCACTACTCCGGCGCTCTCAGCCCGCCGCTCCGTTGACTTCCTTGACCTCAGCGGACCCGTCGTGCCCATCTCCCATGTACAGCGACCATACATGCATGCATGCACACAACGATCAAATGCATCCATACTTCGCCTTTAGAACATTGATGCATGCACCCATGCCCCCTTGCATCGACTTCTCTTTACTTGAGTGAACGCATGGTGCCCCGTTTCCCATGGGCAGCGCATCCTTCTTACCGTTTTGTGTCACCCACCCACCACACCTGACCCCGTCCCATCCATTCGTTTTTCTTGCCCTTCGCGAAGCTGTCATATTTTTAGCCGCAGTCATCCTCCCACCCACACCCATCCCCCCCTCCCTCTTCTTCCAATAGCTTTCCCTCACCCCTCTAACCATCCCCCGTCTCCTCCTTTGTCTCCTCCCCATCCCCACCCCGGGCCCACCCACTTCCACCCCAACCCCAACCCCCCTCGCCCTCCCCCTCCCCTCCCCTTTCCCTTCCCCTTCGCCCTCCGCCAGCTACAGCGCGCCCCCTGGCTGTACCACCAGCGCGCCACCACTGCCACACTGCGCCCAGGCGGACCCAGGCTCTATGGGGCCGGGGGGACAGGGGGGACGGGCGGAGCAGGTGGGGGAGTAGCCACTGGCGCGGGGGGAGCAGCAGGGCCTGGGAGAGGGGATGGAGGGGGAGGGGCGGCGGCAGGGGGGAATGGGGCAGGAATGGCGGATGATGGGACATGGGAACCAGTGGGTCGGGTGCAGGTGAGCATGCTGTGTGTGCAACAGAATCATGCTGTCTTTTTTCCTCCCTTTTTCTTATTTTCCTTCTTTTTTTTCGAGTCCTCCAACATGGGGTGCATGCATGCCAGGAAGAACACAGTGTCTTCGCAACGGGCTGGTTGCGCCGCCCTTTTTGTTGTGTTCTTAATGATGCAGTAAGAAACAAAAAAGGGAAAAAAAAACGATTTAAATACTCCAACGTGGGGTGTGTGCATGCAGGTGAGCACACTGTGTGTGCGCAACGGGCTGGTGGCAGCGGGGGGCTTCAACGGCGAGATGGTGTGCAAGCGGCTTGAGACGTCTCAAAACACTTCTTTTATTACGTGGGCTGCGGGTGTGTCTGTGTGTGTGTCTGGGTGTGTGCATGCAGGTGAGCACGCTGTGTGTGCGCAACGGGCTGGTGGCAGCGGGGGGCTTCAACGGCGAGATGGTGTGCAAGCGGCTTGACAGCGGCGCAGAGGGCGGCGTGTCGTATGCTGGGCGGATAACACGCGATGAGAGCGCCATCACCAATGCCGTAGAGATCTTTGAATCCGCCAGGTGGGGGAAGAGGGTGGGGAAAGGGGTGGGAGAGGGTGGATAGTGGGTGGGGGAAGGGGTGGGAGTGGGTGGATTGTGGGTGGGAAGGGGTGGGAGGGTGTGGGGAAAGGGTTGGGGTGGAGAGTGGGGTTTGGGGGTGAGCTTGGTTTGAGGGATAAGGGTGGCACAGGGCGGTGTGGCGTATGCTGGGCGCATTACCAGAGATAAGAGAAGAGTGACACCACAAAAGCATTGATTCAACGAAGAAACTACTTGCATGCCACTGTCCCTCTTCGCTTCCCCCTCCTTTTACCCCCACCAGTGGCACAGTGCGAGTGTTGACGCCAACAACGACTGTCTCGTGACGGAGTCACACGCATCCTCCACTTCTTAAACCCCCCCATCCCACCCCCCTTCCCCTTGTGCCCCTGTCCCTCGCCCACCCACCAGCGGAGCAGTGCGAGTGCTAACGTCAAACAATGACTGCCTCGTGAGGGAGTTTGATGCTGACTCGTTTGCCATCATCGCCCGCCACCACCTGCCATGGCCCATCAATGTATGTACGCTGGCCAGATAGGAGTGCATGTTATGCCTTTATCAAGCTCCAGTCTATTCATTTGTTTGCGGCATCCGTCGACCATCTGTCGTTTTCTGCCATTTTTTTTTCTCTCCCTTCCCTTTCTCATTCCATCCTCCTCTCCTTCCTCGATCCCCTCGCTCCCGTTGCTCCCCTCCCCCAGCACACGTCAGTATCGCCGAACGGCAAGCTGGTGGTGGTGGTGGGGGATGATCCAGACGCCTTTCTCATGGACGCCACGTCTGGCCGGGTAGGTTCACACTGGAGGGGTGGTGTGAGGGGGGGTGACAGTCACACGAGCACAGGGCCTGTAGCCATGATTTTGGCGAGCTGGTGGTGGTGGTGGGGGATGATCCAGACGCCTTTCTCATGGACGCCATGTCTGGCCGGGTAAGTTCTCGCTTATCGTTACATTTACAGAGGGGGCGGGAGGGGATAAGGTGGGTGGAGGTACATGTTCTAATGATTACGAGGGCTGTTTCCATTCTCACGTGATTCTCTAACTTCGTTGCTCCCTAGTCGCTTCACCATGATTCTTCCCTCCCTCTCCCACACCTTGGCTCTCCCAACAATCCTCCCCCCTCCCCACTACCCACAACCCCAGGTGGTGGCGCCTCTGAGCGGCCATGTGGACTACTCCTTTGCATCAGCCTGGCACCCCAACGGCCTCACATTCGCCACAGGCAATCAGGACACCACCTGCCGAGTCTGGGACCTGCGCTGCCTCTCCCGCTCCCTTGCCACCCTCAAAGGCCGCATGGGCGCGATCCGGTCCGTCCGTTTCTCATCCGACGGCCGGTTTTTGGCCGTAGCTGAACCGGCGGATTTCGTACATGTGTATGACGTGAAAGGGGAGTATGAGAGGAGCCAGGAGATTGATCTGTTTGGGGAGATTGCGGGGGTGTCGTTCTCTCCGGATTCGGAGGCGCTGTTTGTGGGTGTGGCGGATCGCACGTATAGCAGTTTGTTGGAGTTCAACCGGGCGCGGTGTTGTGACTATATCGATGCTACCGTGTGAATAACGGTTTGCGGTTTGGGCTTGGGCTGGGATGGGTGCGTCGCATTTGAATTGTACACAGTATAGTGCTGGTTAGATGAGTTGGTGGGTAAAGAATGGGTGTTGGTAGATGTTTAGGGGGTTTGTCCCTACCCATATGACCTAGAGTGGGCCTGTGATGTGGTACCATGCTAGGGATGATAGGGATAGCTGAATAGGCACTCCTTGTGCCATCATTCTGATGCTTTGTTTCTTCAATAATGTGAAGGTTCATTAATGGCTAGGTGTAGTCAAATTTTATATTGACTGCACGGTATAATGGACGCGAACCAGACTCTGACGCGTACGATTTTCAAACATTTCACCCAACATCAAATTTGGTTCAATATTCGGCCCACTCGCCACCATGCCCACCACATGGTCGCGGGGGCACTCACTCTCGGGGGGCGCGCCTCCGGCACAAGCGCGCCGCAGAAAGCGCGCATCCGCGGGGGAAACTGCGCTGATTCCGCCAAATTTCGTGCGTCCGCCGTTTCGATCTGCCGCAGAAAGGTCAGACATGGGCGATAGATGCGGAGAGGCTCGATAAGGAGGGTAGAGAAGAAACCACGGTAGCCATTCGAATGTGAAAGTGGGGGCGGAGTGGCGATTTAGCAGCGGGGGAACCGCAGAGTGCATCAAGAGTGGCGCGCTTGGTTTATCCTTGCGCGGCGATGCATTGGCCTCCAACGCGTCTGGTGTTCAACGCCACGTTCAAGTTGAACGTTTCAAGACCCCAAAACCCTGTCCCCCCTGAACATGAAGTGATTTTGCATCCTGCTGCTGCCTCTGCCCGCCCGCCCGCCCGCCCGCCCGCCCCCCTCCACCAGCCGCACGTTCCGCGCGTTTGAACGGTGGATGCGCGACGAGGGCAAGATCCAATGGTCAGAAAAGCTCGTTTTCCTCCTCACCTGCCCTCCCCCTCCCCCACGCAACCTCCGCCACGGCGCACGCGCCCGTCACTCCCGCGCCTCTCCTTCCGTCTCCCCCGGTCCCTCCGCCTGCCCCCCGCCTGGTCCGCTCCCCGTGGGGGTGTTTGCACGCGCGCCCCTCCCCCTTGGCACATCCGTTGCGACCATCCCCAAGTCCGCCTGCCTGACTCCACGCACCTCCCTGCTTGCGCCCTACTTCTCCGCCTCCCCGTTCTTTCAAGCAGAGGGGGAGGCGGAAGGGGAAGGGGAAGGGTCAGAGGAGGGGGAAGGGGAGGCGGATGAGGATGGGGAGGGGGGGGAAGAGGAGGGGGGATCAGGGGGTGAGAATCTGAGCGCGGGGGAAAGGGGCAGGCAAGGAGATGCGGAGAGCCAGGCGGAAGGGCGTGGGGGCGGGGGGAGCGCAGGGGAAGGAAACATGGATGTGGGGAGCGAGGGGACCAGGGATGCGGAAGGGGAGCAGGGGGAGGGGGAGGCGGATGGGGAGGAGTCAAGAGGGGGCGCGAGTGAGGGCGGAGGGGGCCAGGGGGAGTTGAACAGCGCAGCGCTGGTGGCAGCAGTGCTCTTTGAGAGGGCTCTGGGGGCGAGATCCCGATGGGCGGCATATTTCGGACAGATGCCAGAGAGAGAGGATGTGCCGGTGCTGTGGGGAAAACGGAAAGCGAAGGAGCTACTAAAGGGGACAGAAATCGAGCAGGTACCAGTAGGTGATAATACCACCTTGCCTTGCAGCTTCAATCCTTTTCTCTCTCTATTCATCCCCCCTGTCTCTTCCCTCCCTTACCCTCCCCCTCTGCCTCCCCTCCTCTCCTATTCTCACTCCCTTAACAGCAGAGCTTCACGTCCCCCACCCTCTCCTGCACCCCGCCTCTCTCCACCCCTCTCCGCCTCAACACAGGCCGTCCCCAGTGACCTAGTGGGCATGCGTGGGGAGTGGAAGCGCCACATTCTGCCCTTCCTCCTCTCCCTGCCACCCCACCTCCTCCACCTCCTCCCACCATCCCCAACCGCTTCAAACGATCGATACACACACGAGCAGCCGCCATTGGAGGAGAATCTGCCGTCGCCCAATCAGCAGCTGCCAGGTCAGCAGATGACTAATCGGCAGCTGCCAGATCAGCTGTCATGGGATGCCTACCTGGCAGTCAAGTCGCTCATCTCCTCGCGAGCCTTTTCCATTGACAGCTGGCACGGGCACGGCATGGTTCCTCTGGCTGACCTGTACGTTGACATACACCTGCTGGTAGCAGCATATGCCATGCAACATGCACCATGCACCTTGTTCCATGAATCACCATATACCATACCACATGCACTGCACCATGCGCATACCATGCGCTACCATGCAACGATACACCATTCCACCCCTCCCCACACCTGTCTGCACCCCCCCGTTTCCCCCCTCTTTCCTCCACGTTCCCCTGACAGGTTCAACCATCGCACGGCAAGCGAGTCAGTTCACTTTACAATCAACGATGGGGAGAGTGATCCAGAGGAGAGTGGCAAAGAGAGTGATGAAGATGGTGAGGAGGTGAGCGAGGAAAGGAGCAAAAGCGAAAGGGGGAAGGGTGGAGACGAGGAGAAGAACGGGGCTAGAGGTAGGGGGGAGGAGGAGGAGGAAGAGGAGCAGTCACTCGAGAAGGAAGGCGAAAGGGAGAAGGCAAGCGAGCAGCTGGAAATGATAATGGTGCGGGAGGAGGGACCTGGGGACGAGGTGTTTAACACCTACGGCCAGCTCAGCACCGCAGCTCTTCTGCTCCGGTACGGCTTCACCGAGCCTCTCAGCTTCGGCGGCGCCGGACCTAAGGGTGGGGAGGAGGAGCTGCCAGTCAGGCTCGGCAAGGGTGGACCATGGGGTGGAGAAGAGGAGCAGTTGGAGTGTATATGCAATCTACAGTACAACCCATTTGATCTGGTTAATGTGGACCTGAATGTCATTATAAAGGGGCTCAGTCCCGACCAATCACAGGCCAGCAGTAGAGGAGGGAGAGCAAGCCAAGGAGAGCGTTTCGCAAAAACAGGGCGAGAATCCAGCCAATCACATCGCAGGGGTTCAGGAACTTCCCGGGCGGCAAAGATTGTTCGTGATTCTACCTACCCTTCCACTTGCTCCTCCCGGCGCTTGCGGTGGGCTGTGAAGCTGCTAGAGAGGGCTGGGTGCCCCCCGTTAGAGTCACAAGGGGAGAGATATTTTGAAATATCTGCTGACGGGCGGCCGCAGCTGGAGCTGCTGCTGCTGCTGAGGTTGGCGGGGCTGGGTGACGTGGCAGCTGCCAGGGTGGACGCCAGAGTGGCAGAGAGGGAGGCTGACGTGGATTGGGCTGGGATGGGGGCTGCTGAGCTGGCAGGGATGGTAGAGGAGTGGGTGGAGGGGATGGGGGAGGGGGAGGGGATAGATAGGCGGGCAGGGAGTGTGGGAGGAAAAGAGAAGGGGCAGGGTGGTAGCGGAAAATGTATTGAGGGGAGAAAGAGGAGGGAGGGAGAGGAGAGGATGCGTGATGGTGAGGTGTCAGCGAGAGGAGATGAAGGGGAGGCTGAGTTGGGTTCGGATGAGTCAAGTGAGGGGAGGAAGGGGAGGAAGAGAAGAAGAGGGGGGAGGGAGAGAAGGGACAGAGGTGGTGGGGAGCATGGTTCAAGAACAGAGTGCAAGGAGGAGCAAGAGATGGTGGGAGTGGAGAGGGAGGAAGAGAATGGGGATGAGGAGGAGGATGGAGCGGAGAGAGGAGAGGAAGATGGAGAGGAGGGTGAGTATGAGGGAGAGGAGGAGAGCAACGAGGAAGAGGTGGCAGCAACCCGTGGGCTACTTGAGCTGCCGACTGTGCGAGCCCTGCTCAGCACAGTGCTGCACGCACGTGACCGCATGTATGGGGGAGCACTGATTACTGCTGCTAAGGCTGCGTTGGACCAGCAGATGCCTCAAGGCCGTGGGGGTAAAGGACGTGGGACAAGGAGCGATGCACGTGGGATGGTGGGTGCGGCAGCGAATGGCACGTGGACAGTGGTGGATGAGTTGAGGGCTGCTCAGGTGATGGAGAGGAAGGAGAGTGCGATGGGGGTTTGGGGGTGGGAGAGGGAGGAGGTAGAGAGGAGGGAGGGGAGGCAGAGTGAGGGCGGGGAGCATCGGAGGGAGTGGTGGCGATTGCTGCATGCGAGGCGGTTGAGAGTGGCTGAGAGGGGAGTGTTGATGCGGTGCAGAGCAGTGTGGCTGGGTGAGCGGTGCTTGTGTGGGAGGGAGTGGAGAGGAGAGGAGGCGTGCAGATTGTGAGTCCAAGCATTGCCAGCAGCTCATACCAAATGTTTTACGCTACTTGACAATGTACTGTAGCTTGCTCCATGTCAACTTACGACAATGTAACAAGATGTTTCACAACATATTCAAAAGAGCATATGATTTTGATTAGCACAAGATAAAAATATAAAAAAACACACAGAACAGGTAGCATTAGAATTAGAGAATGTAGTTAGACAATTAGGAATTAGATCATCCACCGATCATTGTCGGGTTCGAATCACCTCGTAAGAAGGCCTCGTTGCCCCCACCACCTGCTTGGCTCTTGGGAAGAGAAGTCATGGCTTGGGCAGCAGGCAAAAGTTTCCGTTCAGCCCGCAGCATTACAACCTCCCCAGCAGCTGCCTCTCGGACAGCGCTCCGCATCCTCGCGAGAGCAGCATTCAGACTGTTAGCAGATCGCCCATGCGTGGCGATGCTATGGCCGCTACTGCCATCACCACCACCACCACCACCACCACCAGCACCACCGGTTGAAGCCCCGTTGGCAGCAGTAGCGGAGCCAGTGACAGCAGTGACCGCGAGAGCTCGCCTGGCAGCAGGTCCCGGACTAGCGGTGTCACCCTCACTGCTTCCCCTGCTGGCATCACCATCCCCGTCAGCAGCAGCATGGCCGGTAACAGCATCACCAGTGACAGCATCACTACCGGTGACAGCAGCAACAGTGAGGGCTCGCCTGGCAGCAGACCCTGGAGCAGGCCGAATGCCCTCAGGTGACCTCATAACCCTGTCCGATCTCCACGGTCGCACAAGCGGTGCTGGCCCCATTGCGTCCCCTGGCCTTATTGGCCTCACTGGCTTCTTCTGCCTTATTGTCCTTGGTGGGTTCACTCGCCCGTCTCCTTTCACAGGCTGTGCTGCTTGCAGTGGCCGTTTGGGCCTTGGAGGAAGGCTGTAGCGCAGTGTGGTATGCAAGCCTTGGTGTGGAGCGGACAAAGACAGGCCTGCTGCAGCAAAAGCAGGAGGAAGAGTAGGTGGTGGAGCAACAGCAAGTGATTTAGCCCCAGCAGTACCAGCAGCAACAGAACCCGCAGCAGCACCCGCACTATCAGCAGAAGCAGCAGCAGTACCAGCACTAGCAGCAGAAGCAGCAGCAGTACCAGCACTAGCAGCAGAAGCAGCAGCAGTACCAGCACTAGCAGCAGAAGCAACGGCAGTACCAGCACTAGCAGCAGAAGCAGCAGCAGTACCAGCACTAGCAGCAGAAGCAGCAGCAGTACCAGCACTAGCAGCAGAAGCAGCAGTAGAGGCATTGCCAAACCCATAGGCTCTCTTGCCAAGAGCCTCCTGCCACAGGTCTGCCACGTCACAGTGCACGTATAGATCCTGCCAGCTCAGCGTATCCATGGCGCTGAGATAAGCGCTCGGCTGGGCGAGATAAGCACTCGGCGTGGCAAGATAAGCACAGTCTGGCTGCACGCCGTGCGGTCCAACCTGCTGTCTATTCCCCCCTCCTCCACCCCTTTAGTCAACTGCAACTGCTTTCTAATCCGCCCCTCCTCTCTACTCCCCACCTCCTCTTTAATCCCACCCTCCTCTCTACTCCGCCCCTCCTCTCTACCCCGCCCCTCCTCTCTACTCCGCCCCTCCTCTCTACTCCGCCCCTCCTCTCTACTCCGCCCCTCCTCTCTACTCCGCCCCTCCTCTCTAATCCACCCCTTCTCTCTAATCCGCCCCTTCTCTCTAGTCCGCCCCTCCTCTCTAGTCCGCCCCTCCTCTCTAGTCCGCCCCTCCTCTCTAGTCCGCCCCTCCTCTCTAGTCCGCCCCTCCTCTCTAGTCCGCCCCTCCTCCGCCCCTCCTCTCTAGTCCGCCCCTCCTCTCTAGTCCGCCCCTCCTCTCTAGTCCGCCCCTCCTCTCTAATCCGCCCCTCCTCTCTAGTCCGCCCCTCCTCTCTAGTCCGCCCCTCCTCTCTAGTCCGCCCCTCCTCTCTAGTCCGCCCCTCCTCTCTAGTCCGCCCCTCCTCTCTAATCCGCCCCTCCTCTCTAGTCCGCCCCTCCTCTCTAGTCCGCCCCTCCTCTCTAGTCCGCCCCTCCTCTCTAATCCGCCCCTCCTCTCTAGTCCGCCCCTCCTCTCTACGCCGCGCCTCCTCCCGTCCAGCCCGCCTAGCCATGGCCTCTGCAATCAGCTGCAGCTGCTCGCGAATGCTCCCCTCATCTATAACAGTCGCAGCACCAAGGCTCGGCGCGCTCACAGCACGGCTCGGCGCGCTCACAGCAGGGCTCGGCGCGCTCACACCACCCGATCGCTTTTCATCCTCTCCCTGCGCCTCATCTGCTGCCGCTCTGCTCTCTTGCGCCTCTGCTGCCACTCCCTCCCTCCCTCGTACCAACTCCTCTGCCCGCTCTGCTCTTTCTGCCCGCTCTGCCCTTTCTACCCGCTCTGACTGCTCAGCGCACTCCGACTGTGCAGCCACTTTGTGCGCGTGTCGCCTTATCCCCTTCCCGTCCTGTGCCTCATCTTCCCTGCCCTCCTGGCCATCCGTCTCCGTCTCCCCATCCCGTCCTGTCTCACACCTCGACCGCACCCCATCGCACAGCACCATTCCCTTATGTACCAGCACGGGCAGCGCCACATTCGTGCTGGCTATCCCGGTCTCTGAACCTTCGCTGCCCGGACCAAGTGTTGCTCCGGCTGCCGTGCCCCTCCGCGCGATTCGCCTCAGCGGTGCACCCCCAGACACGCGCGCAGCATCCTTCCGCCCTCCCGCCGCGCCTCTCGCCGACAGTTTCCCACCTGCACTTCTCGAAACTCTCCTCCTAATAACGGGGTTGCGAAGCAGGTTACCTTAACTTCGACAGGCTTGCATATGATTACGTCGCCATTGTCGTCATCCTCGTCGCCAGCGTCGCACACTCGTCCTCCTGGTCCCCCTATCCTTCCCCCCCAACCGTGCGCTGCCTCTCTCGCAACTAGTCCTGTTCTCTCCACCGTGGTGCCCCATTCACCCGGCGCTGCTCCAGCTACCCCTCTGCGAACTATGCCGACCGGCATTGCGAGAACCACGTCATCATCATCCCCGTCCCCATCCTCCCCTTCTTCCCCATCACTATCATCTTCATCCCCCTTTCCTTCCCCCTCCTCCCCCATCTCCGCCTTCGCCGCTCTCACCAGCCCCACCGCCCTCCCTCCGGCGCAACTCACGGTTCTGCCCGACCGTGGTTGACGAGTGGCGCACGTGGTTACTGATGCCGGCCGGCCGGCAGGGTTGACTGGCCGGCACTGAGTAACGGCTGCGGCGGAGTCCACCCGCGGCCGGCGAGACGGAATAATGCCGGAACGCGTAGTCAGAGAGCTTCGCTCCTCGTTATCCGCCTGACGTAGATGGCCGACCGAGCCGCTGCTCTCATGCCTGCCACAGCTGCTGGCATTTTCAGGGGCTATTGTGACGATAGCATTCCCTTCGCTCTGCGCTCTTTCCGCGAGGGCGGAACTAGAAGGGCTCAGGCGACGGGTCCCCCACGTACTACTAGCAGCAGCAGCGGACTGACTAGGGCGGCCAGGGGCTGAGCTTGCGCGCAGAACGGTGACAAGCGGAGGAGTCGGCGCAGCAGCTTCCGCGGCGACGCAGGTTCTAGCAGCTGCATTGGTGGGCGCGCAATGGCCTCCCCCGTTTCCCGTCAGCTGGTATCGGCGGAACCCCGCGCTCCCCGATCGCAAGTCGAGCTGACTAGCCGCATTTCCCGCTTCGACACGCCGCTGCCGGTGCCGCTGCACGTATTGCGTCACGTCAACGTCCGCAAAAACCGGAAATTGCGGCACATTAGGACCTAGTAGCGTACTTGAAGTCAGCGACGCGGCTTTAACTCCGCTATCATGAGCGTCCTTCCCCGCTACGCGAGGGGACTGCACGCTACTACCGCTCATCGTCAATTCGTCGTCACATCGGGAATACCGCTCGCTATCCTCTGGACTTCGCGAGTCGCCCTTTACGGGCGCTGCGGCACCGGTCAGCCGATTATGGATAGTCCCAGCGACCACACGGGGAGCTTCATCATCGCAAATTTTAGTGAAGCGATCCGTGGCGATGCGGCGGGAAAATAGTAGAAACGGTGACTCGGGAAACCTTGCGTCGCTTCTAGCCAGCGCGGCCTGCCATTTCTCCGTCGCGGCAAATCGAAGAACATCCCACTCGCTGGCATTTGCACCTTCATCGTACCTACCACCAGCGGGTGCCGCAGAACGCAGGGCGCTACTCTCGCCCCTCCATTCATCATGCGCTCTCGTGCGCCTTTAAGTTAGAGCTATGGATCTCGGTGTTTAGTACTGCTCGCAATCAATCGTACTCTGGAACATGTCACCTCGCGCTCTTACAAGAACCAAAGCCATCTTTGCTTCTAGCAGTCTTTGGAATCAAGTGCCGTTTTCTCTCGTGTGTCCTGTAACTAATCGTGTTATTGAGCCTAAGCAGAGTGATGCTAGACGAGAGGGCGGCGTGTGTGAAGTAAAATTAGGTGAAATGCCAATTGGCATTAGCAATGCTGTGCTAAGTTCGCGTCGCATTTCGTCTACAACACGAAACAATTGTAGTTGGATGCATTTGGTAGCTGCATTCGCTACAGTGGAAAGGACGCTTCGCGATCACTTTGGCCTCCGTTAGATTAGATCCAAACCGTTCCTGCATTTTGCAAACTCACCCAAGAACGGACCGCGTCTCCTTCTACTGTAGCTAAATGTCAAGAGGGGCTCGTGACATATTTTTCTCAGCACGTTCAAATGACGACCTTTTCTAACTCTTCGCGTCGCGTTCCCGTACATGCATCCGTTATAGACTGTTGCACACACGTACTGATTAGACGTCAACACAACGGCGCTGTTCTGTAGGCGTTAAAATTTCCAAAAACTGGGTCCGCAGAATCTTCGTTGATAAGTTGTCATCTGCCTATCAAGGTTTGGTGATAAGAAAGGTCCTGCCGAACGTGTTTGCGCCAAATTTAACGCATCAGCCTGCAGAACGCCACTTTTGGGGCGCACGAATTTAACCGTCTGCAAGCTCGAAGTTGTTGCTTCGCCGAGCAAATGGTCGCACACAGACCTCTGGATAGGATTTGAGGTACTCTTTCGTGTAAGGCCAACACCCAGCTTTACTCTTTCAGTAAGGGTGCTTCACAGAAACTGCTCTTAAAAATCAGGGTGCAAACAATTAAATGAATCGTCTCTTATGTTGAATCTTGTTACGAGTGCAATTGAGTGAACGAACGAGAATTGCACTATCGAAGCAAGAATACAATAAGCGAGGGCGTGAGCAAAGAATATATAGCGAAACTACAGTGGTAACGGTAATGGTCTGTGGTAGTCGCGCGACGAGCCTGGGACTGAGGTTGGGAAAGTGTCGAGGCGTAGGCCCGGAGCGCGGGTTTACCAGCCGAGCCGTGAGGTCGGGATGCGATGTGCAAAAAATGGCGGGATGATTGTCGATGCGATGATCGCGAGTGGTAACGGTGCTAACTGCGGTGCTATATAGTGATGTACGCGTTGAGCAGGGATGCGAAGTAAGGAAAAGGGATTTTCCTTACACTACCCCCCCCCTCCTAAGGAGGTCCTTCTTACGAAAGCGTGTGGACGTCTTTGAAGTTTCGGCTGCGCAGATATTCGGTGAGGACAGGGTGGTTTTCTATTCTGTCCAGGGAACCCAGTTGTCCTCGGTAGGTGTACGGTCTTTCCAGCGGATCAGGAACTCGATCTTTCGGGCTCCTCGGGGGTCGCGAACTCTGTGACTCAGGATTTTGTCGGGGGTGATGATTGGTTCGGATGGTGGTCGTGCCATGCTGGATGGTCGGTGTCGTGGGAGTTGGCCGGTGGATGGTACGTAAGGGCGAAGCAAGCTGACGTGGAACGAGGAGCTGACGTACCAGTCAGCAGGGAGGAGGAGGTGTGCGGTGACAGGTGTGATCATGTGGCTAATTCAAATGGCCCACAGTATCGGGGGCAGAGTTTTGGAGTGTGATGGGCAGGCGGAAGGTTTGAGTGTCGAGTAAATCGAGGTCGTCGGGCTGATAAGTGACAGCCTCGTCTGCGGTCGGCGGTCGCCGTTGAGTTTAGCGATGATGTTCGATTTTTGATTGCTT